TCACAGGAAGTGGAGGCAGTTTCACAGGAAGTGGAGGCAGTTTCACAGGAAGTGGAGGCAGTTTCACAGGAAGTGGAGGCAGTTTCACAGGAAGTGGAGGCAGTTGCACAGGAAGTGGAGGCAGTTGCACAGGAAGTGGAGGCACTTGCACAGGAAGTGGAAGAAGCAGCCCATGAAGCTGTCAAAGTTTCTGAATCTGTGGAAGAAGCAGCCCAGGTTGTGGAGGAACCACCTGCAGCCACTGTTGAGGAACCAGAGAGCAATGGTATGACCTCCTCATCTGAGGAGGAGGCATGAGGTTCCACACACCATTCACCGCAGGACACACACACACACACACTACAACACACACTTCATTCATTTAGGGATAAGCAATGATTGTTGAATATTCAAATSCTAGTTAATATTTACATCAGCACCTAGTAGTGATACAAGTTATTTCCTACCAGAGTGATTCTAGTCGACACAACACCCATCTTTCAAAACTACTGTAGAGAAAAATCTGAACTGTTTCTCCTAGCGTGGTTTATTTTGAAAGGGTTATAATGTGGAAACTGTTCATAGATGAGGTGAGCTTGTCCACGTTAAAGGAAGGAACTAAAGATCCCCAGCAGACAGGATCGACACAAACCTGTTCAAATCAAAGCTGGTGAACAAAAACCTAGCCTTAAACAGATCAGAGCAGAAATTCTTTATTGTTGCACCAAATAATCCAAGCCCAGACCGGTTTTCTATCACTTTATTGAACAATCATTTTAAAAGAGCGTGAGTTGTTATAAAGAACTGATTTCAACATTGATGAAAACCTTTCCCTGCCTGCTGGAGTTTGGAAATGAAAGTGTCCAATGTGTCCACAAATTTGGACGGACATTCCTCCTTGTCAACGKTTGTGGGCTTGTTGTTTATTGTGACAAGACGTAGGAGTTCTACGTTGCCGTCAATCCACCTTTCAGTCCTGTAAGTTTGTTAATTCACCACAACTGCATGGACACCCGCTTCGGATGTTATCATCCATGAAATGGACGTTATTAGGCGTTATCAGTCCCATAGAATGGCTTCAGAATGTCCCGCCTGTGCCGGTTAGCAGGTTCCCCRTCCCATAGAATGGCTTCTGATTGTCAGCTGGTTAGTATGAGTCATAAAACCACTATCTGGTTAATATGAGGCATAAAACTACTATCTGGTTAATATGAGACATAAAACTACTATCTGGTTAATATGAGACATAAAACCACTATCTGGTTAATATGAGGCATAAAACTACTATCTGGTTAATATGAGACTTAAAGCCACTAAGGTTAACTTTAGAGCTAATGACATGATTAGCACTAAAGACACCGCCCTCCAACAGTTGTATATTGTTGCCTTCCAATAGGGCAATGGGTAGAGTGTCGGACCAGAGAGTGGTCGACCAGGGCCCAAGACCGACACGGACACAAAAATTTATTACACTATCTTTTGGTTATTTACACATTCATTGTCATTGATATATTAACCCACTAGGGGGCACTGTCGGGACAGTCTGAAGCCTAGAAGGCACAGTAGGGACCCTCTGAAGCCATTGTATGGGACTGATAACGCCTAATAATGTCCATTTCATGGACTGATAAGATCAGAATCCCCTGGCATGGACACGGTCTTTATTTAAGAATAGAAACAAGAAACAGGCCTAAATAACAGAGATTAGCACTCGTTAATCTGTTGTGCAGACTCAGCTTAGCTCCATGAATGAACCATGTGTGGTGGTTTTTGGAGGATGAATATTCCAGGTGAATTTAACAGTTTGTAGTTAATGTACCCATCCCTACACTACTTATAATCTACATGAAAAGACCTTAAACATCCTGTGTCCTCGGAGCAGTAAACGATAACTTCCTGCTCCTGTCTGTAGCCCCTCCCCCTCTGTGTTCACCTTGTATTCAGTGTTGACCCTAACATGTCAGTTTCCTCCTGTATTTATTGGAGTGTGTGGGTGTGTGTGTGTGTGTAAATTATTGGTTTCCTGATAAACTTGATCCATTCGGTGTGTAGATGCTTTATGTCGGGTTACAGCTGCACCACACTGAGGCAGCAACACGCTCATTTACAGTTATGAGTGAAATAAAGGTGATCACTGAAGACAATCATTACCCAACAGACAAATGAACACCTGGTCATTCCTCTCTGAGGTGACCTCTGACCTTAAATCAGCTGGAACTAAACCACAAGAAAAGATGCTGTTTGTTTTTTAACACTGTTTATTTGTGACTAAGTGATATTTCCAAAGTGTCACTGACACTGTTCAAGCTGTGATACAGTTCAGTCTTAGAAAACATTGTACAAACTCTGTAACTGCTGCAGCGTCTCCTTTTTAAAAAARTGTGATGAAAATGTGAAATAAACTGTAAAAGTCATCTTTATTTAACAATATGGTTTAGATATGTGATCATTTTTATTTTGCTTATAATTGTCACCTGAGCACTGTGAACACTTCAGAATAATCCATACAATAAAGATTTTGTCAAACCATAAAGATTTACTGCTGTCATTGAAGTGAACTGATTGTATTTAGTTACATAGAGGAAAACTTGCTGCTTTTTATATATAATTTTGTGGACGTTTCATTTGATGGAGAGAGATAGAAAATCAGTTACAAATAAAAAATAAAAGAAAACAGAATGTGAAAATTACAAACTGGTTTGTAAATCATTGAGTGAAACAAGGATCTGATCCACTACAGTGCAGCTGGAGCCCTGGTTCTTGCAGACTGGTTAGGTGCCAACGTGACCAACAGATTACAGCCTGTCAGTCAGATTCATAAACTCCTGATCTCAAGTCATTTGTACAAAGCCCATCTGTCCACAAAACCAGTTTTAATCTCCATCACCAGGGGTTAGACCAGGGGTGTATTGTATTGTATGGACTATAGTTAATTGTCAGATAATCTGTCACTAATTAATATTTTTGAACCTTAAGATTACTTTTGCGTGTAAAGGTGAACCAATAAATTGGCCGATGTATCTGCACTGATTTCCTTAATTTTGGGAGATCGGTAAGAAATTATTGTCTCATCTACCTCMACAAAGATCTAAAAATCAGCCAGCTGTCCCCTTTGCTCTGCTCTGAGCWCTACTTAATGTCCAGTTAAAACAAGTTTGTATTGTTTCAAAGGTATTGTTCAATATTTTTCCAATAAAATAAGATTGGGACATTGAAATTGTTTTGTGACCTTATAACACTGGACAATGTCAGCCATTAAAAAATTGGTATTGGCCAAAACTGGAATTGGCAGGTCAGACTGTGTAAAGATCGTAATCAGCCAGAAAACAGTGCACCCCTAGTTACGGRCATGCAACATTGAAGTTGCTCAGCAGAAGCCAAGAAACCTAAAGGATTTGCAGAGTTTCTGTAAAGAGGAGTGGGYCRAAATCCCTCCTGAGATGTGATCCCACCTGGAGACCAACTATAAGAAATGTCTCACAAACATGTTTCTCCACTAAGTTTCTTTAGTTTGGGGATCAAATACTTACTTCACTCAATAGCATACACAGGTTTGGTAAGTTTAAAGTTACACATTTTTACCAGAATGTTTGGTTGATTTTCAGTCAGGGCTGCCTTTTCATTTTAAAATGTGAACATTTAATTTTCTTATTTTTTAACTCCTTTTATATGACTGTTCAAAAAGTATCACATCCTGTCATCTAGAGCAACATTGGATCAGGTGTGCTTTGATACTGCTGTATTCAAGACACAACCAAAAACTAGTAGCTTTTTCTTCTTTATCATTTGCAAACTTTGTCCACTAGAGCAATAGCTGTATTTTAACTAATCAAATCAGCCCTTCCCTGTTCCTTCTTAAAGACTTTATTCAAGCCAACATATCAACCACAATAAAAACAGAGGTTCCAAAGTTGAATTTGTGTATATGTCCATGACATATAGTATTTAGTTTTTTCCCCTACACATTTTTGTTTTTTCTTACTAACAATATTCCTAATATTTTGTTCCATTTCCATTTTTTGGTGAACACACTTGCCTATAGTTGCAATCCAGCTCATGAAAGACCATTAATCATTACAGAACTTTTAAATAAGTTACCTAATGTCAGCTTGAGAACTTCWTGTGGTAGAGAAAACTAGCTGAAGTGACATTTTGGATGGCTGGGTTTTGTGTTGCAGTGCTACTGGCGGGTGCTTCTACAGTCGAAGTAACGAAGACAGCTGAAGTTGAGAATGAGTTGGCTCCCACTATTCAAGATCTCGAAGAAAACAAGACCCCAGCACCAAAAGAGGCAATGCTTGCTGATGTGTCACCACCCATTCTAATTGAACCAGTCGAAAGTGTTATACAGACCCATGTTTCACTGGTGGAGGAAGGTTTGGTACCAGCAGAAAATGTATCAGCTGTTGAAGTACCTGCATCAAAGCCTGTACCAGAAGATGTTAAGGAGTCCTTCATACAAGCAAAGTTGGCCATTTTAGAGGAGTTGCCTGCACAAGTTGTACCCTTTGTTGAGAAGATTCCTGATACCAAAGAAGTACTAGCCGGTGAGGAGACCCCTTCTACTGTGGAGGTGCCAGTTGTTGAAGAGACCCCTGCAATAGAAGAGACACCAATTGTTGAAGAAACCCTTGCTCCACTAGAGGTACCAATTGTTGATGAGATCCCTGCTACCGTGGAGGTACCAGTTGTTGAGGAGACCCTTGCTATAGAAAATGTACCAGTTGGTGAAGAAACTCTTGCTCCATTGGAGGTACCAGCTGTTGAAGAGATCCCTGCCCCATTGGAGGTACAAGTTGTTGAGGAGACCCCTGCTACAGTTGAGGTACCAGTTGTTGAGATCCCTGCTTCAGTGGAGGTACCAGTTGTTGAGGAGACCACTGCTATAGAAGATATAACAGTTGTTGAGGCCCATACCCCACAGGAGGTGCTGGTTGTTGAAGAGACCCCTGCTACAGAAGAGGTATCAGTTGTTGAGAATACCTCTATTACAGAAGAGGTACCAGTTGTTGAAGAGACCCTTACCCCATTGGAGGTGCCACTTGAAGAGACCCATGCTACAGAAGAGGTACCAGTTGCTGAGGAGACCCTTACTCCATTGGAGGTGCCAGTTGAAGATACCCCTGCTACAGAAGAGGTACCAGTTGCTGAGGAGACCCTTACCCTATTGGAGGTGCCAGTTGAAGAGACCCCTGCAACAGAAGAGGCACCAGTTGTTAAGGAAACCCTTGCTCCATTGGAGGCACCAACTGTTGAGAAGACCCCTGTTACAGAAGAGGTACCAGTTGAGACCCATACACTATTGGAGGTGCCAATTGTTGAAGAGACCCCTACTACAGAAGAAGTACCAGTTGCTGAGGCCCCTGAACCAGTGGAAGTTGCATCATTCATGACATTAAAAGAAGCTGGAGAAGTTGCTGAGAAGTTTGTGGTACCAACAGAAGAAACCACAGTGCCACTAATGGAGGAAGTTATGGCACCAGAACAAGATACAGATACAGCCCCTGTTGAGTCCYCGACTGAAGATGCCAGCAAGGAATACATTGTTGTCATTCTGGAGGGAATTCCCAAAGAGGAAAAGAGGCCCAAGGTTCTGGGAGTTGGTCCCCTAACTGGTAGACTCATCCCAGCTACAGAAGATGACAATACCCCTCCCTCCGAGGTACGTCAGATGTTTTTGATCTCAAAGWGATAGAGATTTAGAAGGCATGAAAATATAGTGTTTCTCATAGCTATAGAATTTCAAGGAATTGTTAAAAATCACAGTGAAGAATTCATTCCTGTCTGTGTTTTTTTTCTATTAATGTAGCATGAACTGCACAAAACTAACACAGCTTTTAAACTGTTTTACTCAGGGTGGGCGACGTCGTCTTAGAATGCAAATGCAGTAAAATCGATAAAGGTACACACCTGTTCATATTTCTACACCTTAGCTTTAAATACAAGCTGGAATAGAACACCTGACCTTTGGAATGTGCTCCAACAACTAATATATTTCTAATAACATTTATTTTTTGTTTCTCTCTCAGAGTACACCTCTCCTGAATGATGTCCTTTGGTAGAAGATGATGTGCCTTTCTTTCTCCAGCACTTTCCTTCATCCTTTAACTCTCAGCTACAAACACACTTAGTCACGGGTTTAGATCAATAACTSATTTACTGAACACTCATTTAAACATATAAGCGGTGGCTCAAACAGCCCATTACTGTGAATTTTCACATGGGGGGAGTTCCAGGTGAGTCCAGTCATGTTTCGGATGTCTGGTACAGTGTTAGGAACTTTTCTGTGAGCTTTTGTCTGTTTACAGCTTTTGACTTAACTGAAACATTCAGTCAATTCTTTATTCTTATTGTTACAGTTTACTGCCTGAAAAAACACTCCACTAAAATGTGTTGACACTGTGCACCAAACCCAGCCACCACAGTATTATCTTAAGAGTTTATAAGCATCCCTGCAGTTTGTGACTTTACCTGACTTCAACGTTTTCCTGCTGTGACAATGAATGAGGAAAACACTAACCTTTCATTAGGAAACACTTCTACATTCTGGCTCAGGAGCCTACCTTCTTACCTTTCTACCTCAGTTTTTCAAATAACTCCAAAGACCTCTTTGCTGTAAAAGTCAGCGTTGAGTTTCTTGGCCTGAAACACACTTGCTTATCCACCATCTTAACTCTAAAGCCAGGGTCTGTCTGGACTGTCGATGTTGGACACTAGATGGTAAATAGCATTCACAGGGGAGTCTCAGAAAAGTCTTGAGACGTTTGCAGGGGTTCTTTGTTTCCTTTCGTGAGTCGTAGGCACTTGCAGTCTTGTTAAAGTTTTGGAAATACACAAAAATTGGTGACAGTTTTTTTTCCTCAGAAGGGTTGAAGAGTCATGGTAAGTGAGTCAAACCTGTCTCAAAATCTTTTCACGTTAGTCTACATAATTCTATTCCCACCGATTATGTCCAAATCAGGCTATCTTTAATTTTAAGTGTACTTCAGTAAATTATATCGTAGTCATGGAGGCTGCTCAGGTGGGTACAAAGCAGGCCCAGGTCGGCAACAATATAAGATTCAGTTTTGCAAGCTGAAAGCAAAAAATAAGTTGTGATTTTCAAAGTTTGTATATCTCACTGTACAAACCTGAAAAATTGGCCTGTTTTATTGTAAGTTTGAGTTGCCAGCTAGTTTCAAACAGTCCAGAGAGATCTCAGCGCTAAAGTTACTCCATGACCTCCTCCAGTAATCCTACATCCTTCTCTAAAAGTTCAGCCATGTTCTCACCGAGTAGAACCATCAGGTCATCATGTGACGCCTCGTTTTGTTCTTCACATCTTAGAGAAAACACAAGTTCTGTCTTGATGTTCCTGAGGTTTGACCACATGGGACACATGTCCCAGCTGAGCAGTTACTATCACCATTAGACAGAGCTTAACGTGAAAAATGAGCAGACTTTTATTAAAGTGGCACATTTAAAGTGTGGTGGTTGTTCTTGTGGGAAAACTCCATCATTAGTGGATTAGATAGTGAATAAGCTAACTCAGCACCATGTAGTTTTTGTGTCCTGTCTGGTTCTTCCTGTTTCAGCTGTTCTGAGCCCACCTGTCCCCTCRGAGGCTATAAACAGGTGTAGCATTAAAAACGAAGGATGATCTGTGTTTCTGTATTAAAACCTGACTGGATGCCGTTGATTTAAAGAACCTGCACTGTAACGTGTTTTATTGTACTGCAAAATAAAAGGGATTAAAAACTGGAGTTTGTTGCACAGACGTTTTGTGTCTGTTAGTGAAATATCAGCAAGTTAAAGTCTCAAAGTAACCACCGGATGAACAACTTGTGGAGTTGACCTGATCCAAGATGGCCACCACAATAAAACGATGAAATGGTTGAACWCAGTTTGACAGATATTAAGCTGACACAGTGTGATAGAGGTGATTACAACCATTATATATTACTGTATCAGTGCTATTGTGTACTTTATGTGAAAAGCACCATTACTATGTGTTGGTAGAGGATGTAAGAATGCTACATGTTTACTGTAGACCAGTGGTTCCCAAACTGTTTTCCTCACAGCCCCACTTTCTTACTTCCAGCTGATGTATCATATCAGCAGCAGTTAAGTTGATGTACTGTTTTATTCACACTGATAGCTGTTTAATGATTATGTTCATTAAACAAGGGTATCAAAGTAAAGTAAAAGTATTCTGTAGATATTAGGGTTTAAAAGACTTTTGGAAGTAGAAGTATACATGTGGACAAAGTTGTTGGTACCCCTCGTTTGATGAAAGAAAGACCCACAATGATCACAGAAATAACTTGAATCTGACAGAAGAAATAATAAAGAAATATAT